CTTCTTATTTATACTCGACCCTAACCGTAAAAGAAGGGAAAAAAGGTTTCAAAACAGACCTGAAATCTTCTCTTCTGCATGATAACCTGAGAATTACATGCATTTTAAAGAAGTCTCATAACACCTTCAGAGTAGTAGGATTACCCCATTTTACAGATGTGAAAGTAGGCACAGGAACCTTAGAAGTCAAATATTCAAAAGCCATTTCCTTTTTTCAGAGCTGATTTAGTTTGTGGGTGTTCAACTTCATGCTCAATTGCTTTTATACTTAACTCTAAGTAGGACAGTAGTTGTTAAGTGTCCGAATTACAGCACTTTGGTTTTCGGATTGTCAAACTGAAAGGTCCATACGCATCACTATGAACACGGCAGGTTGGTCCTGGGAACTGGCATCATTCTGGGTTGCAGGCATGGATACCTCTTCTATAGACTCGTTGTCCTATTCAGCCTTCTCAAAATATACATCAGCTGTATCTTGCTCTATGATGGCAAGGCATAAACTCTCTATAAACGTCTCTCTCCAGAAATTCAAATCACACACTTGACTGAAACGTCTGAAATCATAAGGCTGGCCTTGACTTGCATATTCTACATCATTCCCTACTTGTCAGTCCTTGCTACTTTCTCAGTTTACTTCCTTTCTTCCTAGCTGGCCTCAAATGATCTTTCCAAGGCACCTCTCCTTTTATGTCTTTCTGTTCCTGAGCTTGCGTTTTTGTCTTTCGCTCCATTTCCACACCCTCTGCCCCAGAATTCTTTGCCTTCCTTTTCATCTCTGAATTAACACTTTATTCTAGCTTGCAAAATGCTGCTACACTTCTAATTAGGTTTTATCTTTCCAACCTCAAATTTTCTCCTTTTTTATCTGTGAGAAAATGATCATGTTATGAATAGCAAAATCAAAGCAAAATCCAGGATCTCCTAGCTCACTCCCCCAGGTCTCACTGTTTTCCCATGTAGCCAATGACTAATTTCACCAGGAAGAAATTAGATCCTCCACAGTCCATGACCCAGTCCTTGAGGAAGGATTTGCTTTGCCTGTGCACCAATGTGGAGGGTAGACTGGAGCAAGCCATATCCTATGACCCAACATGCTTTCTCCACACGTTGCTCACTAACTGCAGCCTGAACTCAAAGCATCTGCACAGGACTGGGATATTGGCTTGTGGGTCAGGTGCCACTTTAGCGATATTTAGCCTGCTCACTTCCAGCCTGACCACATGCACGAATAGAGCAATGAACCTATGACCGGGTTTGGAGGAAACTCCAAGGCCCTGGCTGAATTAGGTTCTTAGTAAAGGACTTCAGGATGGACAGCTTACACTTGAAAGAAAGCTCAGGCTAGTGCTTAGCTGAGCTGAGTTTCCGCACTGTGCCCTTTTCCACTGTGCCCTTTTCCATTTAAATATCCACACAGGAGATAGTCACAATCTGCTCCTGCAAACAGCTGTCTGCTCACATATACACATATCCATGCACATACATACCCAGACACACACACTACTTTCTTGCTTGTCAGCAAACGTCAGATACCTGCTTGATGTGACCACATAAGCCCTACTTCACTGATTAAGAGCTCTTGCCTACTGCATTCCAGATGCAAGATTAAGATAGGGGCTTTAGCATCATAACTGTTAAAAAGGATTTACCATCTTAATTAATTTCTCTTTACTAATACAGAGTATGCACTAGTCTTAAAATCTCTCAACAGCTTGTCTTCAATAGTACTCCTTCTATCCAATTTAAGGAGGAATCCAGACACTTATCTGAGAATCCCAGCCTGAGAAATGAGATGAGGGAGTACAGTGATACACAAGTACTGCTTGAGAATAATCTCTAAAATTTCTGTGAAGCACAAGAAATGTATGATGCTGAATTCAGAATAATTACATCAGTAAATAGACATGGCTCAAGTAAGAATTTTAGGCAGCCCTGGGAGGAGGCAGAAGGGCCACACACCTTTATAAAATTATTAAGCCATCAAGCCACTAACGTATTAAACTTTTCAGTACTCCTGATCCGTAGTATATGTTAATTTGCTCAAAAACAAGGGTTTTTTTGCAGACAACAAAGAAAAAATGCATGCCAAACTGCTAACCTAGGTTAAGCCAGGATAAATCAGTGAAAATATGACGACTTCCTCAGTACTACTGTTATGTGTGCTGACAGTAATACATTAATCAGCAGCCATAACCTGAAATACTGAGAAAAAGAGCATGAAGAAAAAGCCTTTCCTTACCTCTTGACACTTGCTGATAGTATTAAGCATTTGATGTAGTTCTTAAAAATGTTCTTTTTATGAGCTTCAGAAATGAACAGATTTGTATGATTATCTAAAGAGAAATGAGATCCACTGAAATAAGTCATCCCAAATGTTTACTTCATTCTTGCAAAAAATAATGGCAAAACAACTATCTCCACAACTTTACTGAATTTATAAAAAAGAACCTCTTGAACAGAGGTTCAAGGTTGAACAGAGGTTACTCGACAAGATGTAATTTAAGGAGCTCTTGAGATTCAGTTGACCAATTACCACCTACATTTGCCTGTCTTGCACCGAAATGAAACAGGCTAGCAAAGTCTGGTCATTCCCTTACTATGCTTCAACTATATACATACACAGTGGACAAAGGATGACAAGAGTTTGGGATCACGGGCAAAGCCTAAACACTGTGCTATGGAACACACGGGGACACATTCAAGTCCATAAATACATTCTGTGAACTTCCTCAAGGACATAGTCAACAGGAATTTAAAAATTGTGTTTACATCTTACAAGAGGAGGGTAGTTTGAAACTAGCTAATATTTCAAATTAGATTAAACAGCTGTTTTATCACTATCTTCTCCCTATCTAGCAATAAGTTTTCACTAATGACCACTCTTCATGAACAGCTTAAGTCTCATGATGATAAAGCAGCTATCACTTCTTTTCTTTTTTTTCCTGAAGACAGTGGTAGTTAAAACATTTCTATTGCAAAGTGTACTACAGCCAGAGAGGAGATACAGTAGGAAATTTTATTCTGCTTAAAACCTTAGGTTTTTTGTTTTTTCACTCTATCTTGCACAAAGGTAGTTAAGCAGTCAGCAATTATCTTTGGTATAGGGACTAACAATTTTGTGAGGTCTGTGAAGCAAAAGATCATAGAAACTGACAGGTTAGCCAATCAGTATTCCTGGCTTCTCACACATCCCTGAATGTGTCACCACAGTCCAGCAAACCCTCTGTCAAACAGAATGATTACATAAATGTTGATGGAGACCTAGAGATGACAACTGTTCTGCCTGATGCTGCAATGATTATACACACATTGAGTTTGCATGCAACAAATGAGACTGCAGACATAATTTCAAATACAGATAATTTATCTCTTTGGCTAGCATCTCCTCAGGCAGACAATGGCATGATTTATTTTCAACATTGTTTACCATTGCCTTCAGACGACACATCAGGTCACTGTGAACTGAGCAGCTCATAAAATAACATGCCTCAACCAAAGTAGACGGTAACCACTGCGCTAGGTATAAGCACTTAATACATCATTACTGTTCTCGTACTTCAAGACATTCAATGTTCATCTGGTGCAGATACAGGCAACAAACTTATCCCTGAAATACAACGCAAGTATGGATAGATAGAGAGTGGGTCTTTATATAGAGCAGAGGCTTGTCTCAGTTCTAGTAAAATCACCTCCCTGGGCAAAATCTGCCCACAGGCCTTTCAACTTTAATTTCCACCATGCTGTCTGGGATGTTACAGAAATTAATCCTGTTATGAATCCCTCTTTCCCGCCTCCTTTCCTAATGACCCAAAGAATCCCATCCTCTCCTGAGAAATCTCCATACACAGTCACGCTCTATGGCAAACTGCTCTGTGCGGATGCAGACTGGCAGACCTACTCTTGGCCTGCTTTCAGAAGGAGAGGAAAAAAAAAAAAAAGCACAGTTTCTATTACACCACTGCAAAGGTAGGGCCGAACACTAGAGCTTCTCCACTCCCTCAGCAAATATAACAATAGCAGTTATAGATTGGTGCGTTTGTACCACATCCATTAGTGATTTGAAAAAAAAAAAGTATTTACCATTGAAATGGCGACTCACATGCTTAGATATGAGCCAGCATAGTCACATCAGTAACGCTCCTTTTATTTTTTTGTTCTGTCAGCTGGAAGAGGAATTTAAGGAAACACCGAAATGATTTTACACGTTACCAGACAGGCTATGTTGCATACCAATTGCTAAGAAAATTCTGGGACTATGAAACTAGTAGCGGGAGAGAGCAATGACAAGACACACTCATTCCCTCCAGCAATTAAAGGAGGGCGCCTGTGAGGAAGCCAGGACGCCACTCCGCGCAGGGCAGCCAGGGGCAGCTCCCTTCTCTCAGGAGGACACGGCTGGGGGATAAAGCTGCCAATATGGTTGCTTACAGAGGGACCGCTCTCGGGAGGTGGGTGCCTGCAGTCCGGTCCCCTTCGGCTCCCCTACCCAGTAAGCCGACGGGTGCCCACACGGCGGTTGAGGCGGCCGTTAGGAGGAGGCAGC